CTTTTCACCTCATTTTCATTGATGGTGTATAGCGTCGCTTTTGGTCTATCGCGGATGCTTGCCCTCCCACTGCTCTTAAAGCTTCCGGTGGTAAGCAGTATTGTCCGACCATTTGTTGCACATTTTGCAAAGGGTACATGGACTCTAACTCTACCTATATTACACTGGTCGCTTTTGGTTCGATCATTTATGATGGGCCTCGTGACTGTGATGAGTTGGGAGTTCGCAGAGTCGTTATTTGATGCATATGTTCCCCAGGTAATTATCCTTTGCAACGGCAAATCTGCATTCTAAGGTCTTTTTCAGCCGATCAAAGTTGGCACCCTTACTGCAGATCCTAATGTGACAATGATCTCGGGGATTACGACTCAGGACACAGTGTTCGCACACTTTGCATATGCTGAGTTAGCAGAGCTAGCTTCAGATGAATCCTCGGCAGGGAGCGCCCGTAGAACAGCCCTATTTGGTGACCAAAAATATAGCCCAAGCTTGTGGAATGTCTTGGCCCGGCAATCGCTCCTGCGTCTTGGACAGGATTATCAAACATTCCTGCGACGCGGTGCATCGATCACTCCTCCTGTCGTTGTAGTGCCGGCAATCCCCAAACCCAAGGATCCGCCATCGACCCCTCTGATTCGAAAGCTATCTTCAAGGCTCCGAGACAATCTCCTCTTGGCAGTATGCTGGATTCAGTTTCGTCAGATTCGGAGATCTCGAAGGCTGCTGCGGCAGTGGCAGGCGAAATGGAGGAACGGGCCAGTCAAATGCACATTCCAGAGCTCTTCCGGTCTGTGGCGCCGTCATCTGCAGCTGCCCCAGCAGCCAATGCTGTCCTGGCTAAACCTGCATCGAGCATCATATCCGGCCTCATTGCACAGGTGGAATCGCACAGTAGGGATCTTGTTGTGGGCCGTTGTCCAGCTTGGTTGAAGGAGACGGCGATAACATGGAATAAATGGTTTTATCGAGAGCGCTTGAATAAGGTCGTTGAAGTTTGCTTGCCAAATAGGGAGCTCGATACACTCATTATTGAAGGTGCAGTGGATTTTCAAACTTTATATGCAACTATTGAACTCTAGCCACAGCGCTATCGTGCTTCGTTTGCGCTTCCCTGAGCGAAGATAGGTATGGCGTGGTTCAAAGGGACATACCACGCATCCTCGAAGCCTTTCTCTCATTTTTATCTGCAATAGAGGAATATCAGATTGAGGTGAACGCCAAATACACACCACCGACGCCGGATGAACTTTCTCGAGGCGACACAAAGATATTGGAAGAAAAAGAAGCGATGCGTCTAGAAGTTGCCAGAGCTGGTGACGTACTGGTCGTTGTCTCAGATGGTTTGTGACTTTATGCTTCGCCCAGAAACTTTTTAACAATTCAAATTTCACAGCGCTGAAAACTGGGGTAGTAAACATTTCGCGCACGTTCGGCGATAAGCTAGTTGCTTTCAAGTTTCCCCCTCGGACTGCACGGAAGTTACAGTCATTTGTTGACTATACTTAGTGTTTCGGCGAGTTACAGTCGTGGATGATGCACCCCCCGGGTCCTCCGGATCTCAGGGGTTCTGGGACTGCTCCCGTATTATGTATCTCGTCGTGGCAGCGTTATTGACACTTCAGTAACTGAGGGCAAGCAGTCCCCACTGTATTTATCCTTCGAACTTCGGAATGTCAGACTAATATCTATCGCAACTATACGCAACCAATAATTCTGTTCGCTGTTTACTTCCCACTGACAAAAATACACTCCGCCAAATAAAATATGCGAGCGCCGAGAACTCAAGAAGCCATCGATGGAGCGTGGACAAGAACCGTCGATAACGCTCTTTTTGTCCGACATGCGTGACGGCAGGAGAGAACGTGCGTCATGAATGTGTGCTTATCGCGTGCATCTGGTTGGGAATTCATCGAGTGTAATTTGTCTTTAGTTACCTCCTGGCTTGAGGACGCTCATGCGTCAAACGACTCTTCACCCAGCCCAAGCCTTGACTCCCGCACAGTGGGTATGAAGTATACCTATTTTACTTACTACTAATTGAGGCTTGCTTTAATACTTGCTGGACAAGAACCTCACATGGTGATATAAGTATGTAGCGATAGCAACAAAGAGGACCAACACAAATATCGTGATGTACATATTTCTGCTTGCAACACCAAGGAAGTGCGGAATACAATCAAAAAGCGAACGAAAACAGAAATGCGGTCTTAATGAAAAAAATAAAAGATAAAAAATAATCGAAAATGCAGGCAGATCAAGCCACGAGAGAGACCAGCTTATCGCTAACCCCGAGCTTCGAAGCGATCCGTTGGAGTCTCTCAGGCTCATTCTCGAATCCAGCGCCTCTGAGCATGATAGCCATATAGTCAAACGCCTTGGGAGCATCGATGGCAATATCGTCCAAAAATTCAGCCATGGGCATGAATCCCTTCTCAAATACCTCGAGCGTACACTGTCCGCTGCTCATAGCCTGCGCGAAGAAGTCACCTACCAACCTTGCATCTGCCTCTTTGCTCTCGAGTGCGGATCCAACCAGCTTGTTTACGAGCCGGAAGCGGTGTTCATCAGGAAGATTGGTGAAGTAGACTTCTGCCTCCTGAAGATTGCGAATGGCAAAGAACTCTTTCACATCTTCATCAATCATCTTGACGTCTGCTTCTGATATGGAGGGTGTGCTTCTAGGTTCTTCTTTCGAAGGAGTCGTGGCGTTCTTTTTATTAGCATAAACAGACCGTGGAAGAAGCTGGAGCTTCCTGTACTGTACAGCGGGCTCAGGAAAACCGGCATGACCAAGATCAACGTCCGGCTTAGGTCTCAACGAAAGACTGGGTTTCGTGGGCATCTTATGGGTGAGTTCGAGGTTCTGACTGAAGATATTTGGGCTGGAATTCAGCTGTGAAGGTGTCTCCTGCTTGTTGTCCTTCTTTCTGCCCACGAACACGCTACTTGGACTCATGACCATGGACGCACCCATGCTGATCTGCCAAACTGTGACAAATCATCAGCCCTGGGAAGCGCCATGGAACAGAGCCACCCGGAGCAGCCCAGCCATCAGGGCCATGCTCTTCGCTGTGCTCGCTACCGCCTCGAAGGTCACCGCTAGACATGAGTATCTGACGGTTGTCCACGAGTCGGAAGCGGAGCTCATGTGGAAGATTGGTGAAGTAGCCGATGTCTGCTTCTGACATGGCGATGGGTGCGCTCTCGCGCTCTTCTTCCAATGGAGTTATCATGCTCTCGTCAGCAGCGTAAACAGTTTGTGGGAAAAGCTGGAGCTTCCTGTGCTGCACGGTGGGCTCAGGAACACCATCATGACCAAGATCGATGCTTGATTTCCGACTCGACGAATGACTGGGCTTCGTGAATGCCTCGGTGGTGAGTTTAAGGTTCTGGCTGAGCATACAGAACATATTTGAGCTCAAATTCGTTCGAGAAAATGTCTCCCGCCTGCCGTCCTTCTTGCCGGCCCCGAAGATGCCACTTGGACTCATCACCAATGTCATGGGTGGACCATTAGTGCTGTTGCCAAACGGTGACATATCACCAGCCTTGGGAGGCACGCGCGGAACATAGTCACCGGCAACAACCCAGCCATCAGGCCTATCCTCTTGGTCACGGTCACCGCCCCTTTGAGATCCACCGCGAGACATGCTCATCTGACAGTTGAGCCACTCCTCTGCAGCTGCTTTCTTCTTGGCGGCCTGTAACACGAGTATCAATGAAATAATGTTTGATGACACCAATCTATCTTACCAGTGCGTGAACGGTAGCAATCGTCACAGGCGCAGCATGGCGGCTCATCCATATACGGTCGCGCAACTCGATAACATCCTAATATCACAATGATGAGCACAACCGACAAAGATACCCAAAAAAATGCCGCACCTGAAGCATGAACTGCATACGAGTGCTGATATTATGGCTCTCGCCTAGCTCCTTTATACGCGTGAAGTAAACGTCCATACGCGCACGGGCTTGCGGCGTGTCAAGCAACTGGCCAACTGTCTTCAACATCTGACACAAGCTCTCAATCCTCTGTTCCTCGGGGTTCTCGATGTTGCAAAGCAGCTTTACCACACACTCGTGCATGAAACGCTCGGTTAGCATCCGAACCTTGAACAGCTCGCCAATAAACTTTATGAGATTGAGACCCTGGCGCTTCGCCTTCTGTGCAGCGTAGTACTCATCAGAATCGAGCCCAGCATCCAATGTGCCCTTCTTGTCGTTAGCAGCCTTGGTTGCGTGATCGCTGGAAGCCTTTGCCCCAGCGGCTGCAGCAGTAGCCTCCTTGACGAACCACCGGCGCTCAAAATGTTCTTGACACAGGTTGAGAAGATAATTGCGGAACAGCTGTTTGCCAGCAATAGGCCTCTCCCCTCTGTTCTTGATCCCGTCGTCGTACACCTCAGGTCTGATTTGCTCCATCATCTTCTGACATAGCCGCGCGTACATCTCACCCCAAGCGGTCTCAACAGTCACCTTCTTGAACACCAGCCGGATGACTCGGATGAGCGTCTGCCCGTCCTCATCCACGCCCTTGTTAGCCCAGTGGATGATCTTGTCTGAAATCGTTTCAAATTTCTCCATCGTGAGCTTGTTGAGCAGAGCCCTGACCTTACGGTCGACCAGCTCAGGCGAATCAACATCAGGTTGAACCTTGTAGGTCGCACTCGTAGGGACCCAACGGTTGGCAGACAATTCGAGAGGCACAACGGGCTCGAAGCCAGCACCAGGACAGGTGCAGCGCCAAAGTCAGGACTATGTTCCTCCTGGGACACCAGAGCCTTGTTGGCATCACCATACTTCTTACCCGCGTTTACTGCGTATGCGGTTGATGCCATGCATGGGATGGCCAGGCCCACTTGTGGTGGGCATGCGCACTATCGGGGAGCAAAATTGGGAAGAAGCACTGCTATTTGAAGCAGAACGGGAGTGGACATGGCAAACCGCTCCTCGCTAGTAAGTTTGCTTCCTGGAACTTGAAAATTGCCCATCTGGAAATCGCTTGGGATGGAGGTAGACGGCTTCTCCTTGTACATGTACATGAACTGCATAAGGAAGTCACGGTCGTATCTACACGAGGCAATGAATGAGACATTCGAAGTGAAGGAGCAAAACACACACCTGAATTGGCCATCCCTGACGTTCGCATTGAACCCAACCCTCGGGCTCTCGGGGTGCGCAACCTCGCTTAGATTCTCGATGACACGTGCAGTGAGGAGTGCGGAAGGGGAGGCGCAGATGAAGTAAGGTGGATAGGGGCTAGGAGGCTTTCGTGGAATCTCAGTGGGAGGGGACATCATAAACGTATCTATCCGAGGTGACTCCTTCAATTTCTTCCCGCTATTACCGTTAAGCTGAGGCACAGGAGCTTCGTTATGCTCGGAGACTTCGCCGTCCTCTGGCTCTTGAGAATCGCTGGCGAGTGATGGAGTCTGAACTATGCCATCAAATTCTTCAGCTTCAAGCTGGGCTTCCTCTACCTCAAGCATCTTGCTGTTTCCGTTCCTTTTCTTCTAGTGCGATGTGCGCCTGCTGCCTCAAGACAGCCTTCCTCCTCCTGGCGTAGGAGCTCCTTCTCCTCTTCCTCTGCTTGTCGTATCCGCTCCTTTCTTCCTCCTCCATGAGTATCCGGTTCTCATCAGCCTTCCTCTTGCGTGTAGCCTCTTCCTCCTCCATCCGCTTGGCTTGTTTCTCTCTTTTGCGCTTCTTCTTTGTACCATCCTTCTTCCATACCAAAACCGAAGGTTGCGGTCGGTTGGTCACAACGGGCGATGCGGGTGAGATAGGAGCGGTTGGTAGCCGGAGACTGAGCTTCTTGAGATCATCAAGTGTCACCTCCATGCCATCCTGGCTCCTGATGGTAATCTTGGATATAGAGCGTCCGCCAGGAACAAAATCGCGGGCGTTCGTGTTAAGGCAAGGTGCGCTGGCGGTAGAGGGTGTGGACAGCGGGGAAGATATGGAGAGAGGTGTTTGAGGTGTATGAGGGGTGTGCGGGATAGCATGTGCCATTGTGGGTACCAGGTAGTGAGGGGCTGCGGAGCGAGGTGACATGGAAAGAGGTTCAGGTTGATGGGCATGTTGCGGGTGAGACTGTCGGTGCATATGTTGGGAGGGCATAGCATTATACCCCCAAGGAGGTTTTGGTTGATGTGGATCCATATACTTGGACCACGTTGAGAACACAGTTGATAAATATGGTTAGAAAAATGGAGTACTAACATAGTCCACCCCATGACATGGGTACCTGCGGTGCTACACCTCCTGGAAGTGCTTGATGTGGGTGTGGAGCCATTCGGAGACTGGCAGGGATGGGCAGGCCACCGGGATCACCTGAGGCAGCTCCTTGTTGAGACTGGCCTTGCACGTTTGGCCTTGCACGTTTGGCACAGCACAAGAGAATGCAGGGGAACGTGGGGTGCCAGAAGGCTGCTGTGATGAGCGCATGCCATTGAACACAAATTGTGCGAGGCGAGGGTTGCTGGAGCCGTTGTGACGATAGCTGGTGATTTGGAGGTAAATTAAAGAGCCGGGTGGAGGGAGAGAATGTGCCAAAAGACGACTGGGAAGACGATGACGAGGGATTCTGAAAGAGCTTTACAATGTCTGCTCTGGATGGTTTAGGTGTAGATGCGTTGATGTGCAGCCGTTGAAGATAGCGCACTGGAGTTGGAAGGTGTTAATGACAGGGAAGGTCGTGAAGCTGCTTCGACGACCCTG